TAAACTGCTCGAACATTCTTTAAGAGCTTAAGTTGGGTTTTCGTCCAGTAAGTCTTGCAATTTATTGTCTTCGCATTTTTTTGGTCCTCCAAGCCGTTCTTTGTCATTGACGTCGAATTCTCGACTTGAAACCACAACCGACAATGGAGACATGATGGGGCAGCGTCACTATAAGTTTCCAAAGGTGTTTGATGGGCTTCGGTAGCAGATTCCTTCAAATCAAGCAACAAAAGCAATGAATAACGAAAATCAATTTTGACCGTTCCGTAATGGGCGTCTATATACGCTGAATCGAATTTAACCGTTGCGTTCATTGATACCTCGCACTACATTATCATTCCCATGAATAGAATCGCTGATCGAAATACATGCAGGCAATTATTGCATATAAATATACTTTGGATAAATAAATGGGCGATAATACGCTTTGTTAAATAGCTCATCGAATAAAATGTGTCAAATTGCATAAAATATTTTAAATATATTATAGTAAATAAATATAAAAAATAAAAAAAACTTGTATTGAAATTTATTAAAAGTATTCGATAATAATAAAATTTAAAATTTGAAAATATAAAATAAAAGATGAAACTCAGAGGATCTCCATGCTTGTGCGTTTAATACTCAAGTCAGGTTTACAGGAAAGCCGATCGTCTTCGTTGCTAATGCTTTAAAACTTTTTTTTTTATATCTCTGACTAAATAAATTACAATAATACATAATTAATAATAACAATGAAACGATAACGAGTTACATTTGCTATCCAGTGTATCGTTGGTTATCGTTTTTTGATACGCATACATGTATCAGGCATATCAGGTAGCAGTGTTCCTTTCTAAACAATACACAATCTGATGTCTAACTAGCAAACCATTACCGAGAGAAGAGAGATGAGAAAGATGAAGTAATCAAATGGTAGATAATTAAAAGTGTTACACTATAAGCTATTGATAATAAAAATATGAAAAGTTCCTGAGATTTTCCTACCATTTTTTTTTACTTAGTAAATATATTTAAAAAAATTTCTTGCCGTATCTTGTTATTTAGTTGCCTTTGTGTTTTTTTTTTTTTTTTTTTTTTTTTTTTTTTTCTGCACCAAATTGCAGTAGCGAGCTGATTCTCTTTGATTTTGCTTAAGTTTGCTTTTGTAGTGCTTCTCTTTCTCATTTATTAAAGCAATATCATAAATATATATATGCTCTTTGCTCTATACTCACAAGAGGCGCCCATTAATGCAATGCCCATTGCGTATGTAAGTGTAAACTTGTGAAAATTTTGACTATTAATAATATGTTAACACACAACAGATATTTATTTATTCTATTTATTAAGATTCAAAGACATGTTACTGTTAGTCTATAATAAATGGTTTTTGCGTATTGACGCTGAACGCTGAGATTAAATAAAACGTTTTTTTTATAAAAGAATAACGTAAAAATACAAATATATATTAAAAAATTGTAAACAACGCTAACAAAAACATCGCAGAAGGAGGTAATTAATTAAATATTAATTTTAAATAAATAAAATTAAATTAAAATAATTTTAATAATAATTGATTTGATTTCGAAACATTTGAATATTACGCTAAACCGAATCCGTTTACTTTACTTAATTACTTAAGTGTAATTACAATAAGTGTACAATATGCGTTATGCGATATGCGATATGCGATATGCGATATGTAAAACTCAACGTTAATGAAATGAATAATGTTTAATAACTTACCGCACTTACTGTTTATTAAATCTTTTCCAGTGCTTCGTTAATATATGCGATTCTTTTTTTTTTTTTTTTTTTTTTTTTTTTTTTTTTGGTTTGCTTGCTTGTATACTGCCTTTTGACAATAATAATTATACCGGTATGCTCAGTTCATTACTTCCTTTAAAATCGAAGAGAGTGATTCTATGCAGATTAGAGAGCGAACATATTTTTTTTATCTTCATCACCAACTAATTGACCTTGAGAAAGAAGAGAAGTCTTCAACAAATTATGATAATTACGAGTGCACACGCACACACACACACACGCACATACACACATATAGATAATAGTAATAATAAAAATTTTATATTGTGAATGGACCCATAGGTCGATTGGCTGGTTGATTGTTTCGCTTCAATTGTCCGCAGTAAAAAGAAATTTTAACACCAGGTGTGTGCTTTTTCCAATGCAGCATTTTGAGAATGTAATCGAATTTTTGCAAATAGACAAACAGACGGACATGGATAAAACGATTGATTATGAACGTTGACTAGCTTATACTAACATCGGTGAAGTTGTAAGATTTTTTATACACAGTCGTAGATATATGCTCTGTAACGTATTTTCCTAAGAAACTATACATATTTTATTAGTTTTGTAGATTACGTTATTTATATTATGAGGTTTGCGCGCTTAAGTAGGATGCATTGCGAATACCTTACATCTTAGACTCAGCGTAAGAATAAATTAACTCAATGTCATTTAGATTGTATCAACATTTCTTTTCAATGCACACATAAACACATTCACATAATTATTTTTTTGTTCGTCGAGTGCAAAGCATTCGACTTAAATTAATTTAACAATTCTTTGTTCTTGTTGTGTTCATGATTTTTGCTTTTATCAATTGTTTAATAATGACTGCAATTTCTTTAGCTTTTGTTGTTAGGTTTTCTTTATAAAAGAGCGCAAATCTTTTGTCTTTTATTTTGAGTATTTATTTTATATTTCATACTCTTTAAAAAAAAACAAAAAAAAGACAAAACTCTTGCATTGCATCGAGAGCAAACTACTTATCTTAAATCTCGTCTTATTGTTGTTTGTGTGTAAGCGCTGCAAGGCTTATTCGCTTAGTATTTATTGTAAGTTAATAAAACGAACTGAAAGAAGAAATAACTGTCATGGGCACTGTCGCTGACATCGACGCAAATAGATCAGCGCAAAAGAGAGGAAATAACTTGATACCTTTAAGAAATCTAAACTTTATTCAGTTATTACTCCTGACATAATCTTGATTTGCCTGAATGAATTAGCCTATCTATATTAGAATTGCTTATACGAGCTTGCAACATTTTTAATCGAAAAAAAAAAAAACAACCTTAGTCTCATCCATATGCCTCCATGTCTTTCGATAAGCATCACATGACGGAAATGAGAAGCTATCAGCTTCAATCTAATCTAGCGATAGCGACAAGATATTACAAGAAGTTCCAAACACAAGTTAATGTCTTGTTATCATAATCCATCAAATTAAAATAAATCAAAATGAATCCAAGCGCCCATTATTTGAAGACACCAAACTCGATTTGGGGGTCAGCGATTGAAAAATTCATTAATTACATTATTATCAGGCGCCAATGTGGTATTCGCTTGACCTTAAAGACTTTGAATTTAAAATTATATAACATGAACGACATTGATATTGCTTGAGGGCAAAAAATGAAAATGAAATTAGTGAAGAATTCCTTGTAAAAGATGAATGAGTTAAGATGAGGTTTGGGCGTAAGAGTTTTGGTGCGGAAAACCTTGAAAGAATGAATAATAGATTTTTAAAAATTCCAAAAATATCAAAATAATTGAACAAACAATTAAAAATAACCGAAACCTGATTGTGAACAAGTTTGATATGAACATATATATATATATATACATATCGATTAAATTATTCCAAGAGTTGATTTTGTTTTATTATCCGAAAAACAGAAAAATACTGAGTGTAATCGGTAGAGATTAATTAAGACTAGAAATATTGAAGAGAAAAATATATGTACATACATATGCATAAATCTAAATATAGAAATTATTAAAGTGTAACTTCATTTTAGTGGATAGTTGCGCCAAAATAAAAAATCATTTTGAAACTAGTATGAAAACCTTTTTACGATGGATCTGGCGTTTTTGCTGCTGTTTCCGGTTGTTGTGGGCTTTCTTCTAATATTACGGGGTTCGTAGTGGCCGTATATGAAACTAGTTTGACGTTTGGATTATCAGGAACAGAGCTGGCCCACTTTTGTACGTCGGCTTCAAAGGTGACTGTTTTGCTTGCCTGATTAAAAAAAAAAAAAAGAAAAAAAAAAAACCAAAACAAGTAAAAGAACAACAACTCGTATTTAGTTACTGTCAACAATATACCTTTGCTATGGCAACATCCGTTAACGCTTCGGCCATTAATAAACTATTGATAGAGCTATTTAAATCGGTGGGATTATGTTCGCTTTCGAAGTATTTTCGCAATGTGGTCTTTATTCTATAGACAATGGAAATAAATTTATTTATATTTGTTTTTTTTATTTTTTTTTTTTATTATTAAGGATAAATTTTAAATTTACTCTTCCTCAGATGCGTCTTTTTTCAATCCCTTTTTCATTCCCTCACGTTCCAAGTCGATACGCATTAGAAATGCTTCGATAATACTAAGAGGTTCTTCTGCTGGAGCATTTGTACAAGTTTTCTCATCAATTGCACACGAGACTCTAGCCAGCTCGAACGCGACAGCATTGAAGTCTTCTTTACCATCAACTGCTTCTTGTATAGCACCAGGACAATAATTATCCATTACTAATTCCTTAATTTGTATTTGACGGGTCGCTGTAGCCACTGCAACATCTAAATGAATAAAACTTCTTTTACTCTTTGTTTCAAAAAAAAAAAAATTAGTTGGAGCTCTTTTACCATCGCAGTGATCAAATTTATCAAATTTAATACGACCGCATTTTTTTGCATTCGCACATGCCTTATATGATTCAGGTAACTCCACATCGTCCTGTAAATAACATTTTTCGATATTTCTTCTTCAATTAAATAAATAGCACAAAAGCACTGCATGGATTTATTATATTAACTTGTATGAAATAATTAATTAAAAATATCTTACATCAGGTTCTTCCTCGGCGTACAAATTCCGTATATTAGGCCCCTAATAATAGTAATAATAATTATAATAATAATGAAATAAATAAAAGGTGCCTCTTATACAATGTGCTTACGATATTCTAGTAAAAAAGTTTTATTTACCTTTTTTTTCGCTATAGGACAGGATGCATGTGGTTTCTTGGAAAATACATTTCCACATGATTTCTATCAAGTTATAAAAGAAATATATATAATTAAGGTTATGAAAGTGATTTCTAAATTAAAAACACTGTGGCTGACTTAATTAATTAACGTTTTGCGGGAAAATTCTATATAATATATCCGAGTAGCGGTTTGGATTGATACTCGTATACAAATACACGTAAACACATTTTTTATAACGCAATAAAGATTCCACCTTCGGTAGAAGGTACAAAGTTTTCATCACTTACCGAATCTTCCGGCTTAGATTGATTCGCTTGTGACGATGATTCAGCTGTCGTACCACCAGTGGCAGAAGATTGTCGTCCATGTATCAACTTAGACAGAATTTCCATTGTGATGCCTATTTTTTTAGCTATACTTTTGAAGATGTTTGGTTTATCTAATTCCTGCTCGCTTGGCGTTCTCGATGGACAAGGCGCACAAACATTTTCACCTTGAGCCTAAGTACATATTTATTGTATAACAATTTATTTCATTTTTGAATCGAAACTTTAACTGTTGCTTGCAATGAGGTCAATGTGAGGGCATGTAGCTAGCATTTACACTTACCAACGTCGATTTGTCTTCAGTACGTCTTTCTTTCTTTGGAATTTGATCAGGTGACATCTAGATTTAGAAAGCAATTAATGTACCACCAATTCTTATTTATATAAAACAACATCTCCCTCTGTCTCTCTCACCTGTAGATATGCCATTTGCTGTTCAGGGGCGTTTTCCAGGCATTCCGCATTCTGAATTAATATATTTATGAAATCGAAGAAGGAAAACTTACAGAAATATTCGCATAATACTTACTGGATGATAGGAGATTTCAGTTTCGCTGATGATAAGCTGCGGCATTGGATGAGGCCATGGCTGCATAAGAAATTTTAGTGTTTATTAAAACAGTTGTTATACAACGCGAATATGTTCCATTAAAATATCTTTAGAAAAATCTTAAAAATATAAATTCATAGTTAAACAATAAATGCGTAACGACTCGACTCGACTCGACTCGACTTGACTCGACTCAAATGTTTTGTAGATAAGTATTCTAAGATGGACGCCAAGTCAAAAAATCAGAAATGGGTGGAAGGTGGATTAAATGTATCAAAAAGGATTTCCCAGTTAACGCATACGATACAATAAAAATTGTATTTTTTTACACTCAACACATGTCTGCAATGAATGAACATTTTAATGGAGTTTTTGCATCTTAACGCGAAAAGTATGTCATATAGGTTTTCCCATTTCGTAGAGCTCTTATTATCGCTTAACACTGTTCATAATAAGATATGAAAGCGAAAGTCTGCTTATTCATGCAACAAAATTTCCTCAATATATAATATAGTGATGTGTATGAAATGCAATAAAAAAAAAAAAAAGATGAAAATCAAGAAAATTTTTGAAGCCATACCTGATATCGTGGTAACTCACGTATCTCATCTTCAAGAATTTCATCGAGTATAATGTGTTCGTCTGTATTAAGAGTTCGACCGAGATGATACACCGGATCATCTTCAAGTAAAGGCAAATTACGTAAACCTGCTATCCGTTGTTCTATCATTTCTTCGCATCCTGTTGCTCCCTGATTTTATAAATAAAAAACAAAAAAAAGCAAAAAAAAAAAAAATGGAAAGGAAATGAAATGAAAAAGTGTTTTATAAATAAATAACCATAGCGTTCAAAATTCTTGTTAGTCGAACTCTATTGCGTAGATTTAACATTTAGTTCTGGTAGAATTCACGTAAATATTATTTTTTTCGCGTTTGACAATTGTTTGAAAAACAATTAATAACTAACGTATATACCTGGTCAACGTCATAGGGGCCAGAAGGTTCCTCGTAAGCACCACGCGCGTTTGGACAAAAATTCTTTTGAAGATTAAGATGAAAAAGAAAAATACATTTAATAGTGATATGGGTTAACAAAAAGTAGCGAAATCATATTTTTATTACCGAAGAGGGATCTTCTTGGGCTTCACGTGACCTTCCACGAAGAACTGGCGATTCGCGTGCAGGCTGCTGAAAGAAAATGTATTTTTCAAATATATTTCAACTTAGATTATGTGGAAAAATATCGCGGGCACTTACATCTGATGGCTGAGGGCAAATTTTTAACTCCTGCGAATATATCAATGTTTTAATAAGTGGCTGTAACGAATAAAATTTGGTAAGGACCAAAACTTACATCTGTTGAACTTATGGGCGGCATAAAGTTTATAAAATCTTCGAGTGCCTGAAATAGAGGACACGCACATTTTTTTGTTAAGCTTTCAGAAGAAATGATTAAAAGTAAATTTCATTACCCCGATAAGTTGGTCTGCAACAATCCAGCCGGTATTATTACCATTAGGAGATTCCGACTACGCGATGGAAGAAAAACGAAATATTAAAAAGAACATTACCCTCTATGAAAAATTTCAAGTAGAGTTTATATTTACCCGTGAGGGGGGGTTGTCGGGGTTCGCTTTATTAGCAGGTGAAGATGCTTTACTACTTCCGGCCTATGAAAGATTAATTTGAATTAATTACTTAGGTAAATAGTATTCTTACGTATTTAAAACCTGATTGATCGGCGATGCCGCAACGGGACTTGCTTCGCTGCGTCCAGGTTCTCTTTGCGGAGAGGCAGCGCGCGATTTTTCGGTAACAAAATCACTAATAGATCGTGATGGTTCTGCTAGGACAATCTCAAGTGCCCGAAGTGCCGACTTTAACGTTTTAAAATTAATTTTCTGTTAAGCTAAGATCTATCGCAATTTCAAACCTGACTGCGTGTTTTGTCACCAGCACCTTCGTAAATTGGTAATTGTGTTTGTGGGCAAGTTGGTGCTGACCGAGGGGGAGAGGGTGAACGTCTGACAATTTGCCCAGCATAATTTTCCTTGGGGGTTCGCCCGCTTGACTGCAACATCGCCTTAATTATAAAACGCAAAGCAATACTCGTTTTAACATTTTACCTGTTCACGTGGTTTATCGCTTGAAAACTCAATAGCAGGTTGTCTTCCTCTATCTTCCTGTGGACGGGACTGCGTTGGCCCTTGGGGGAGAGGACAAGGGGAAGGCCTAGAACTTGTCTGAACATGGGATGTTTTAACTTTTTGTAAGCAGTAGAGTATTATATAAAGTATGCTTACGGCTGATTTGCTCTGAGGAGCTCCAATAGCCTGCAGTGGCTGTCTTCTAGCTAGTCCAGGACATGGTCCTCGTTCTCCCGTCTGCAAAAAATTTCTATCGGTTTTTGTAATCATAATAAAAATCATCAATAGAAACCTGGCTGCGTGATTTATCTCCAGATTCTTCGTAATATGGTTGAGGTCTTTGTGGTGTCTGAAGTGTTTGTGCAGAGGTGGGCACCATAAGCCGCATGGGGGTCTGGCCAGGAGTATGTGCAGGACTTCGACCGGGCTGTAATGGATTATATATAGTTAGTTACCTTTCTTAGAAAGACTCTTCGCCTTTGAAAAATTCGCTTGCTATTAACCTATTGAAAATCCTTACCTGTGGTAATGCGGGTTGGGCATCCATCGATCCAGAATAAAGCTCTATTAGTGGTTGACTTGGTGGTTTAACTCTAACTGTACGGCATTGAACGCTAGTTACTGGAAGCCCGTCTGTCGGTGTATAATATTTCTACAATAAATTTAATTGAAATTCAAAGGAAAAATAAAATTCTGCGTTGTTCTTACTTTGCCCTGACTTCTATGGTAGACATTATAAGGTATTTGCCCTCTAGCTCCGGGTGTTAATGGCGAATCACTTTTAACCTATTATGAGCATGTGTAAAAATGTCACACTTAAAATTTTATTACCGCAGAATATACGTATACCGTAGTCATAGAAGTGGTATGTCCAAAAACGCATTCACCTAGATTTCGCATTGCAGCAGAACGTCTTGGGGTCATCCCGCTGGGCGAAGGACACTCCTGCGAAAAATCAGTTTTGAGATAAAAAGCTTAAAATAATAGTAAAAATGTACTTGAGACGATTTAGGATAATCTGCAGCTTCGCCATATACATTACGTGCCCTTGCCGCTACGACTTGATCGTAGTTTGTAGGTGTTTCAAGTTTCGACTATAAAGAGAAAATACTTCCGAATCGACTAACAAAATCATAAAGGCATAATAAAATTCTTACACTTTTTGCTGCTGGCATAATGCCTGGAAGCAGCTTTTTCGACAATGAACCGTAGCCTGCTGGTGCTGCAAGTAGTCGGCCTCTTCCCTATGTAAAATAAAAAATTCTCCTTGATTCGTTTTTCTCATTAATGTCAACGATAATTGATCTTACGCCAGACGACATTGAAGCGGTTTTTACTCCTGCTATATGCGGTCTATAAGCAGCGCGTCCTCCTCTACCGGGGGGGGCATGATGAAGCCTGCTGCAAGTGATTCATTGTAAACATTCGAGAGTAATTTTTGGAAACAATATCATTTTACCTGTCTGCCATAGTAATCAATATTGGCCATAGGTGTATTGTAACTTCCGTACTATACCGATAAGATTAATTATTTATTTCTGTTATTTTCGCACTTACACGGTTTATGGGATCAAATTTGAACTTACCTCCGAAGATTGTACAGGCTATTTAATAAAAAAAAAGTATATGTAAAATATCATGCGTAAGATATGTTTAAAAAAATATTATACGAACCGTGGCCGGAATTGCACGATCAATTTGGCTACGATCTTCAGGTGTAGTTATGCTTGCATTTCTTCTAGTTTGCGGTGTACCCATTCGAGCAGGACGTCCTAAATTGGTACGCGTCGCATTATATATCGGATAGGAAGCCTTGGGACATTGTCTGGGCGGTGATGAGTCTCTTGAAGGAGGGGACATGTTCACAGGCGAATTACGGGATGCTGTCTAAAAAGTTGGATAATAGACGAAACACTATGTAATTTTTGATATAGAAATAAAATTTTTTAAGCGATCACTTTTAAAATTTTTTGCTTACTTGAGGAGTTGCCATATCAAAAATCCTGAGCTCTTCAGCAGTTAATTGTCGCCCCGGCGAATTATGAACCTCAACGGTAGTATCATTGTCAACTACGCAATTATCCTAAAGATAATTTTAAAATAACAATTAAAATAATTGCTTGCACAATAGCTTGCACAATATTTAAATATTTTCACCTTCCTTTGCGGGGAGCCACCAGCAGCACGGCTTCTCGTACCCTGGCCCATCTGAAATAAACTCATTGTAAAATATTTGAATTGAACAGTTGAAAACAGGTGTGCGCGCTTTCTATTTTTTACCTTAACGTACACTAAGAAATTACGCTGCTAAGAGATTAACAATGAAATTTTCAAAATCCAGTGCTTTTCGATATGCCTTCTAACTTACATCGACTTAACGCAAATTTACATACGTGAATGTGCGGTTTGAATTATAAATTTCTATTTCTCACAATAACTTTTTAAAATATAACGCAAAAATTTTCATAAATCTGCTGCTACCGAAACGTAAGAGATGCACTGTTTTATGGGTATTTTTTTTTTAAATATTTTTTTTTGTGTAGAAAATGTAAATTATTTAATGGATACGAAAAATTTTGATATTTGGATTGAAAATTTTATTTTTGATATTCGTATTTTTTTTTGGCATATACATATAAGACCAATGCTTCAAATAATTTTTCAAAAAATTTTCAAGACATTTCATAAAACTGCTTTCAAGTACATGTGCAATAATAATAATAACCAAAAGCAAAATAAGAATAACTAATAAAAAGTTAATGACAATCATTTAATCTAACAAGACCGCCTATTTTAGAAGGTAACATAAACTAATCAAGTCCAATAAGTGCATCCCTTTTTGGTACAAGGGTATGTTAACTTGACGAACTTGAAATAGACTCGTCTTTTCAGAATCGTTTTTCGATTTTGAATTTAGATTCATTTTCGCATTCTTAAGAATCTGTTAATAATTTTTCCTTTAATAGTTTAAACGGTATTACACGGCGTTTCCCAATCCACAAAAAATAGCGAACAGGCACCTATTTAGTATTCTGAAAGAGAAGACATCTTAATATCCCCGGATTTTACACATTGTTTTTTTTTTTTAAATAACCAATTTTTCAACCGTCATCCCATATATCTGGAACGCGGAAATGAGCGGAGAGAGAAGTGAGGTGAGAGACATATCGAATGGCCGCAACGTGCTGGGCGTATGCTCCATCGGTAATTGATATATACCTTCTCCGATTGACCACTCACTATAGCTACGGCCATAAATAAATTACAATCAAAGTATAGTCTCTTTAGGAAGTTTAGTTGCCATCGTTGGGTTATAAAAAAAGAAAAAATAAATAATTGGTGCTTGCATGTATTTCGATCAGCGATTCTATTCATGGGAATGATAATGTAGTGCGAGGTATCAATGAACGCAACGGTTAAATTCGATTCAGCGTATATAGACGCCCATTACGGAACGGTCAAAATTGATTTTCGTTATTCATTGCTTTTGTTGCTTGATTTGAAGGAATCTGCTACCGAAGCCCATCAAACACCTTTGGAAACTTATAGTGACGCTGCCCCATCATGTCTCCATTGTCGGTTGTGGTTTCAATGGTTTAAAAGTCGAGAATTCGACGTCAATGACAAAGAACGGCTTGGAGGACCAAAAAAATGCGAAGACAATAAATTGCAAGACTTATTGGACGAAAACCCAACTTAAGCTCTTAAAGAATGTTCGAGCAGTTTA